CACACACGCACACACACACACACACACAGCCTCTTCCCAATATGCGTTTTTGCAATTTGCATATATACAAAAACGCATAAAAAGTAGAATGACCTTAACTTAGAAGCGACTCAGTTATACTAGGGCACGGGAATTAAAAACTAGCGCACCAATTTTTGCGAGCTTGCACGCTCTGTGGATGCTTTAGCTACTGTCTTGAATGATACTTACACCACTGTACTGGTTGATCCCATATACATGTGCAAATACATCAAGCCACTTGATTTAGAATTGCGTGCATCTGAGAGAAACCATCGCTTAGTTGTATGTGCCAACTCCTCATAAACCTGCTAGGTAGTTTTTTTGAATTCCTAACCGTTGGACAACTTCCGCCGTTTGCAGAAAGTGAGCAGCAAGCCCTGCCCATCGGATTTTACTCTTTTACTTGATTTCCATGAGACTATATGAGTGTGCTTGAATACCTGCCAGGAGTTTTCAGCTCAGCAAGCAGAATTAAATAGCGGCGCACCATCTGACAGTGCGATTACGCGTTTTTGGGCTAAGCTTAAAGCAGCCAAGTCGCCAAAAAAATGAATGATTGATGTCTTACAATTTTACAGCTGCTACGCCCTTTAACAGATAATACGGCCATTTATTAGGAACGTCAAATAACTTAATATGCAAGAGTTATGGGGTTCCCGGTGGTCTGAAATCGTCTCGGCTGGTGTAAGCTGGGATCACGCGGCCAACGTGGGCTGCTGAACTTAGGCGTTGGCTAAATGTATAGATTGTGCCAGGCTGCCGCTTTTTTTCGGCTCCTCGATCGTATGAGTATACGTTGCCGCACAGGCGTCGAACCGACTGACACGCAGTATGAACCTGAAACATTTTGGAACATGAGCAAGCTTGATGACTTATGAGCAAGCTCCAACACAAGTGGGCTCATGTTGGGTGTGTTTGGCATTTTCTTTGACATGCCGCAGGTATTGCGCAAGTACAAGTCGAAACTCTATTTAGACGTACAACTTCACAGATGTATAAAATATATCCTGGGAAAATTACAGCTATTGTCCCTCGGCTAGTTAGAACTGCCACGGGGCTAACTGCGATTTTTCACATAAATGCAAGCTTGAGGTAAAATATGTGCGATAGCTAAATTTAAAATCTTTAGCTTATACATAGGCAGGAAACACCACTGTGAAATTTCAGCTTTTCAGCTTGCATGCGTCTGGAGAACTTTTCTCGCCAAAAATCAGTATTTTTCTCTCGGCGTCCGTGCGCATAATTCAAGCAAACATGAGCGATGATTTCAGGCTGTAAACGATGGTGGCAACACGCTTGTAAAATTTCAG